ACCTACTTAATTAATTCAATTTATCTTTTAAGAAATTATTTCCAGCCTTTAAGTAACTGTCAGATAGCAGCGCATGTGTGACACTTCTTTCTTTTCAACTCAGTAGCTTTAAAACCAAAATAGTTAGATTTGTCATGAAGCAAGAGAAGAAAACTATAAATTTAGACAGCTCTGATTAGTGCAGTTCTCAAACTGTTGTTTTATATGTTAACCCATACAAGGAGGAATTTTAAATTGTGGTACAGTGAGAAAAATTTTAGAAGTGAAGAATAGTTGAGAGAAGCATCAAAAATCAAGAAGCAAACTTAAATTTTCAGGCTCTCTTGTTGCCATCAATCTGGTCTCAGTGTGTGCACTGTGCTCGCCTGGCTCTCTGTCACGGTCGGTCTCAGTGTGCGCACTGCGTTCGCCTGGCTCTCTGTCACGGTCGGTCTCATTGTGCGCACTGCATTTGCCTGGCTCTCTGTCACAGTTGGTCTTAGTGTGCGCACTGCATTTGCCTGGCTCTCTGTCACAGTTGGTCTTAGTGTGTGCACTGCGTTCGCCTGGCTCTCTGGCTCTCTGTCACGGTCCATCTCAGTGTGCGCACTGCGTTGGCCTGGCTCTCTGTCACAGTCGGTCTCAGTGTGCATACTGCTTTTAACTTGGAAATTCATAAGTTGATGCCCCCTTGTGGCCTGTCACCAAAATAAATGGCACAAATGGAAATTTTGAGTTTTGGAGTACTTAATGCCTATTAAATCATTCTTTCATTCCTTTATCAAATACTTTTTTTTTTTTTTTTTGAGACAGAGTTTCATTATGTCACCCTTGGTAGAGTGCCGTGGCGTCACATCTCCCAGCAACCTCAAACTCTTGGGCTTAAGCAATTCTTGTGCCTCAGCTTCCAGAGTAGCTGGAACTATAGGCACCTGGCACAACTCCTGGCTATTTTTTGGTTGTAGTTGTCATTATTGTTTAGCAGGTCTGGGCTGAGCTTAACCTGCCAGCCATGGTGTATGTGACTGGTGCCCTACTCACTGAGCTACAGACGCCAAGCCTATGAAATAATTTTCAAAAAGCAACTTCTAAAGCAAAATAGCAAAAGAATTATTATTCTTGTTTTCCATTTAATTTATTGACCTTAAAATTTATGAAATGTTATTCTAACCCTATGTAATGGGAAGTTGTGTATGTGTTAGCTGGACGCTAATGTCCTGAGAAATAGATGATGGGGTATGCTGTCCTTCCTCATCATCCCAGGCAGTTAACTCTTTTAGCTGATACAAGTGTCTTTACAGATATGATGAGATGTGATAGTAATTACAGGTTTAACCCATGACCTTCCTCCCCCTCCCTAAACATACACACACATCCTAGTACATGATGTGTGGGGAGATTGTTGTTTAGTGATTTGATCTGGAAGGGCCAGGAGCTGTATGAGACATTGGAAGGAGTAGAGATTTGTGTTAGTAAATAGTTGCCTGGAAGCTTACAGTAGTTGCTTTTATTGATATTATTGGCAAGGTTTTGTTTGTGTGTGTGTGGGACTGAGGAAGAAGTGGAGGAGAAACAGCAGCAGCAGTCAGTGTTTTAGAAAGGCAGACTGCAAACAAAGCAGCTCCTTTTGTTCTGGTATCCAGTAAGTTATCTGGTGGTTGGAGGTGGTCCATGACAGCAACCTTGGCTTCAAGGTCAGATAGGCCCAGGAGGAGAGGCCTTGTGTGGTGAAAATTCATGTCATCTCTTTCCAGTTCTTAGACAGTTGTATAATATTAACTAAGCTACTTCATCTCTGAACACGGCTTCCTCTCTTTAAAAAAGGTTACAAGCTCCTGTTTGCTGTGCACTGTCTGCAGCTTGATTGTCATCAAAGGAATGTTATTGATAATATTGGCATTTTATCACTGTTGGTATTCATAGGTTAAACACAGTTTTGTGTTGTAAAGAAAGTGCAGGGTACAATTTTGTTGTGTAGCTCCTGGTTTTTGGTGAGGATTCTTGGTGATGTACTGTGTCCTACAAAGTGATGGATCAGCTCGTAGTCTTCTGTTTGCTGTGGTCTTACTGTGTATTACTTTGTAAGTACAGAAGTTATTTATAAATTCTTGACTACAAGTATGGTCTTTACATTAAAGAATTTACTGGTTCTTTTGTTTCCGTAGTTGAATATTAGTAGCTAAATTCTTTTTATAAAAATGGCAAAATAAGACATTCCCTTTAGGGGTGATGTTTGCATGTCTTGGCAGGCTCTTCTTAAAAGCAGAAACAAATTGGGGCTCATTCCTCTCTGCTCACTTTATTTATTTAATATCCAAAAGAATTAATCTGAGTCCCCTTTCATGAGAAATAAGATTATTTGGATTAATTTAACTTCATGAAAAAATGAGGTTTTTTTTTTTTTTTTTAAACCCCAGGTACATTCAACTTTGAATCATAAGATTTTTCTCCCTTCTAAAATTTTCCTTGGCAGCTAAGTTAAAGAAATATACTGTTTTTGTTTTTTTTTTTTGTTTTTGTTTTGTTTTTTTGAGACAGAGCCTCAAGCTATGGGTGAAGTGCTGTGGTATCACAGCTCACAGCAACCTCCAACTCCTGGGCTCAAGCGAGTCTCCTGCCTCTGCCTCCCAAGTAGCTGGGACCACAGGCGCCTGCTCCAATGCCTGGCTATTTTTTGGTTGCAGCCATCATTGTTGTTTGGTGGGCCCGGGCTGGATTTGAACCCGCCAGCTCAGGTGTATGTGGCTGGCACCTTAGCCACTTGAACCACAGGCGCCAAGCCTACTGATTTTTTTTTACTTTGGAATAATATTGTAAAAGAGGAGAAAATTAAAAAAAAAAACAACCCAAACTCAAAATATAAACCAACTGGTTGGGTTCTAGTGGTTTTGGAAGTGGCCATAAATCACATAAACAGAGAGGAGAGTGAGGTTCCTGAGAAGGCCGTCCCAGGGGCTTCCCGGCGCCCCCGCCTGCCTTCCCCTCATTGCTGTTTCCAGAGGATGGTTCTTCAGTCTCCATGTGGATGGTGCTCACCTCAGTCTCTGTTCTCAACACTGCATGTCACCAGAAAGACCGCAAATGAAGGTGTTACTTGGGAGTGAACATTTCTCTTATGAATCATGGAATGGACTTTTGGTGTTGGTCTGTCCTTGAATATCTGTTCCTAGGCAGACCATTTCAGGAGAGAAAAAGAGGTGGGAGTGGGGGAAGGACGGCTAGAACACAGTGGAGGGTAGACTGAGGAGTGATGGCGAGACCACATGTCACTCTACCACTGATTTGTTCTTTAAACATAAAAAGCGTATGTACCAAATTTACATATTTACTAATCAAAAAGGCCTCGTGGAAACATTAAGTAGACTATCTTTTATAACCTTTAACACTGTCACTAATGGATATAGCTTAGAAAATTTCATCGAAGGTCCTTTAAATACTGTGCATGGTTCTGAGTGTGTAACTAGTTAATATGCACGATGCAGGATTATCATGGAGAGGTTAATGAACATTCTGCTCCGTCGTTCACAGCGCTCCTCTTCCTGTGCTTGGGCTCACTTTATGCTTGGAAACACAGGCAGTGGGACTGGAAAACATCCTGACCGTTTTTGGGTCTCATCTTTTAATCGGGACTTTATAAAAAGGATTGCATGAAGATTTCTTTTTCTTTTTCAATTTACATTTAATTCTGTTTGTCTATTTTATAATTACTGACAAATCAGAAACACTGGAATGAATTGATGTAGGTTTAGCTTGGCTCTTCCAGATGTAAAGTCAGTACTCTATTATGTATTTCCACTATTATTAAGTGTTGCTATGTGATTGATACTTACTGAGAGATCTTCATTCTAACACGGACTTTTTGTGCTGAGTTAATGTGTAGTATGGTTGGGTATCTGATTACAGTGTGTATTTTGGTATGGGATCGCTGCCTTAGTATTAAATGTCCCAAAGGAGGACATTTATTTCAGGAATTAAATGTTATAATAGAGGAATTTAGTGACAGATTGAAAAAAATCTTGTGATTTTTTTGGGTGAAACACTGAGCACGTAGGAGCAGAGCGTTGGTGTTCAGAGCAGAGGCCAGGGTGGCGCTGTGGGCTCTGCCACATGCCTGACCTCAGGCATTTGGATTTGGTCCGTTAGTTTCTCTGTCTCTAAAATGGTACAGTGGTATCCTAGATTGGTGTTTAAAATTTTTATTAATAGGTAATTTAAAGGTAGATAATCTTTGAAAATTGTGTTAATTTTAAAATTGCCATTCAAAAATAGTGTTATTTTTTTAAATTATGTTTTCCTTTATTAACTAGTGTTACTTGTTCCCTAAGCATTTTGAGAATTACTAAAATATTTTGAAGGAAACAAAATAACTTTTGTGCTTAATTTCACTGTTTTAGGATTATAAACATAGTTCAAACCAGCTATGAAGTGCTTATACATTTTGTCATAATGCACTGGGGGACAAATGAGCTGTTCAGAGCATCTCTTTATCCCAAGTATTTCTGCTTGAAAATGTAGTAGAAAAATATCACTGAGTTCATTTTTTAATGCGTCAGAATAAAAATTACAGGTAAAAACATTTGGAGATATACTGACAAAATAAAATATTTTCACTACTGTCATTTTTTTTTTTTACTGATGAAACGTGGATGTTACAGTGGTTTCTTGTTATTTATAACATTTGCGTATTCTACAAAATATGTAACATTGAAAACAGGTCTGTAGATTGTACAAAATACTAGTTATCTTATATCATATGTCACCTAATAGTTATGAAGCGAGTTTTGTACCAAAGTATGAATCAGAAAGCTGTAATTTGTTCTGCAGTTATCAGCCTGCATTAGAGGGTTATGATAAAGTGTGCCGCTTAAAACTAACATTCACATCTCTGTGCATTTGACAAATAAAAATGTATACTGAGATGCCATTAACTCTGTGAAGCCACTGTGTAGTTGCAGATGCACTGATGTTGTAGCTCTGTCATAGCCCTGTTTTTCATGAGTAGTTATCTGTTTTCATGACAGGTGGTCACTAACTGCCAGGAGAAAATCCAGCACTGGTGAGTGAAAGACGGTTTCATTACACTTCTGAAATACTGATTTGTAACCTATTTGTTTTTAAGTAATGTGTGCATAGCTTTTTGTGTGTGAGCATAATTGAATTCTTCTTTTAATTTTCATCTTTGAATATCTCTGTACTCACTTATAATGTCTTCTACCCTTTTCTGAATTTCATGTTTCTGAGTTTTGAAGTTATGTCACCATTTGCATTTATTCTGATTGCCCCCCCCCCCGATTCTTTAGAAGTTAGAATAATGTTAATATTATGAAGTAGAGACTGAGACCCTGATCCTCACTAATAGAATGCCCTACTTGGGGAATATTTGAATCAGTTGTTTTAGAATAATGTAACATTGAAAACAGGTCTGTAGATTGTACAAAATATGGCACAGAAACATTTTCCCAAGGTTTGGAAATCTAATTTCTTGCATTTCGGAGCTTGCTTTATAGACTGCACTTTTTGAACGAAAATGTCTATTTTAGTGTCTTAACCTGTGGTTAATAGGACAGTGCTTGGTAAGTAACACTTTCCTTTGGCTTCTGAGGAGCACACTCAGTTTAGGGGTGAATAAAATCTTACCTTATGAGTTGCCATGAAGTATAGCTGTTGATCTTACAGGCACCAACTTACAGCACGTCCATGCTGTGTTCACAAAGACTTCCCTGAGAGAGCAATGGGAGCTGCCTTGATTGCTGTCTGCAGGCTGCTGCAGAATCAGGGTGGCTGCCCCTTTAGTGTGAGATTAAACCTTCGGTTATACACTGTCAAGCATATAATATTTTAAATTTATTTTAAGAGGCTTTTTCTTCATGCCCGAGAGATCTCCAAGGAAATAATTTATAGTTAGTGTATATCAAATGTTTTTTGGTTTAAATGCACATAGGCTGCAAACAGTGGATAAGAGTGAAAATCGGTGCAAGCTGTACGCATCATCTTATTAAATTTCGACTATTGGCTTGCAGAAAATAATTTAAAACTAGTAATATTCACTTTATAAATAAAAATGCAGGACTTCATTAATTTCCAGCAGATGTGACGTTGCCGTTGCGTCCCCTGGCGGTGTGCGTCCAGCAGCATTTCCACAGCAGGCCCTGGCCTGTCAATGCACAGTCAATTCTGGTTAAATTAAAACTTGAAATATAAGTCCTTGGCAAAAGAATTTCCCCCCTGCAGATTTCGCCAAAGTGGTTCATTTTACAATTAATTCTCAGTGGAAGTTTTGTTAATGTGGATATTTCTATCTGTTGTTTTTGGTAAGGAGTTCAGGAAATTAGAAAAAGTTATATTCACTCAGAACAGATACAGTTTACACAAATGCTTCTGATTTGTTTTATAAGGTTCTTTCCTTTTTAGGGAGTTCTGTAAGGATGGGCCATGTTTTTATCCTTTTATCCACAGTACCTCCTACTGTTTAAATGTTTGCATAAGTGAAGACCAAGTGTGTGGCTGTATTTCCTTCTAGTTCACAAATACCATGTGGAAGTGTGAGAGTCTGGTGAGCAGTGAGGACTGGAATGTTCCCCTCACTTCAGGGCAGGTGCATGTGACCCTTAGTCTCACTCTCTGGTTTTCCAAAACCTTCCAACTTCATGTATTTGCCGATATGTCTCGAAAAGTCACATGGTACCTTAACTATACTTAAAAAAATTAAAAATTTTTTTCCATTTAAAACTTGCATTTTCTTCTGAATCATTTCTGATATGGTGTAGGAAATAGACTTTTCTGTTTGCTTTTTAATGATGCTCGATACATGGTATCATATTGCTGGAATCTAAATGGCCAGTAAATGCATCAATTTATAATATTTAAGAATTGAAACCAAAGTGTCTCCATTCCCCCGAAAGCCAAGACATTTGTCCTTGGGAGCACTGTGGAATTCTTCTTCTTCTTTTTTTTTTTTGTAGAGACAGAGTCTCACTCTATTGCCCTCAGTAGAGTGCTGTGCTGTCACAGCTCACAGCAACTTCCAACTCCTGTGCTTAGGCGATTCTCTTGCCTCAGCCTCCCAAGTAGCTGGGACTACAGGCACCCACCACAACACTCCGCTATTTTTTTGTTGCAGTTTAACCGGGCCAGGTTTGAACCTGCCACCCTCGGTATATAGGGCCAGTGCCTTACCCACTGAGCCACTGGCGTCGCCCCACTGTGGGATTCTTATGATACTTTTGTATTCTCTTAATTCCTCAAACAATGCTTGAGTTCCTGCCATATGCCAGTGTTATGCTTGTGTCTGGATGAAAGACCCTGACATGGAGGAATTCAGGCAATGACAGAAATAACAACAAGTTTGTGCAGTTTGCAGAGGTGTGAAGTGAGTACAGAGGGAGTGTAGAGGCTGGAGCCATTCTTAAGGTTATCTCACATACTGCTTTCAAAAGCATGCTGCTTTTAATTCTTCATTAGCTCTGGGTGTTTGCCTAGTCCAGGGGTTCTCAACCTGTGGGTCGCCACCCCTTTGTAACAATGAAAATACATCCTATATGTCAGATATTTACTTTATGATTCTTAACAGTAGCAAAATTACAGTTATGAAGTAGCAACAAAAATAATTTTATGGTTGGTGGTCACCACCACATTAGAAACTATATTAACGGGTCGCGGCATTAGGAAGGTTGAGAACCACTTTAATGCTATACCTTTGAGATTGTTCTCAGCCATTATTTGTTTTTCTTTACTTCCATAAGTTCCATTGTGTGTCGAATGTCTAACTTTTTAGGACTACCAATAAGATTCAGAACTGATTTTTAAAATAAATAATTGCCACATCACTGAGACTGTGGCTGCATGACTCAAAATAAATAAATCTTTGCTAAGATGATAGAGCCATTATTTCATTGCTCCCTAGTAAAATCCCTGCAGAACATGCTGCCTGTCTCTGTGGTGCCTTGGGGGTCAGGCTGGGCTCACCGTGTCCTTTTGCTAGACTGGTCTGGGCTCACTCACTTGGCTTCAGCCGTTTGGTGGCTGAGTCCACTTGGGTTGTTTATGGTGCCCTCACTTCTAGGCCTGGTGGCCAGTGCCGGCCGTTAGCTGAGCTTTTCTCCTCATGCTCCATTCTGTCCAGGGAAGCAAAAATGGAAGCTGCATGAGCACATTATGTTGGTCAGAGGAGCTCACAAAGCCAGCCCAGATTCAAAAGGTGGGAAAATAATCCCCATCTGCTGGCAGGAGGAGTGGCAAAGAGTTTATGATCATTTTTAACGTTCTATTGATAGCTTATATTGCATATCTCCCACAACAACAAAAAAAGTCTCATGACTTTGTGTCGAATTGTGAGAATTAAACGAATACTGAGTGCGGTGCCTGGCAAATGCAGATCATCTGTGTGTTAGCTTATAGTCATAATTGCATGTATGTGGCTTGGGAAAACTTATCCTTTTGCTTTATTTCCCTTTTTTTTTTCTCCTTTTGAGATAGAGACTCACTCTGTCACCCCAGGTAGAGTACCATGATGTCACAGCTCATAGCAACCTCACACTCTTGGGCTCCAGTGATTCTCTTGCCTCAGACTCCCGAATAGCTGGGACTATAGGTGCCTGCCACTACACCTGCTTAGTGTTTCTATTTTTAGTAGAGAGGTCTTACTCTTTCTTAGGCTGGTCTTGAACTCCTGAGCTCAAATGATCCACCTGCCTCAGCCTTCCAGATCCAGAGTGCTGGGATCACAGGTGTGAGCGGCCATGCCTCCAGCCTATTCTTCCTACTTCAACGTGAAATTAGGAAAATCTTATTTCATGATTTAAGTTTTATTTCTCTTTTTTCTTTATTATTTAAAGCTTGGAATTTTTATCAGTTGCTTCGAACACAGGATATAGAACTTATTTTTTTCTTTACAAAGATTTTTATTTTTGGCAGTTGCATTTAAGAGGATTAAAAATATGGAGTCTCCATTTTTAAATATTATGATGAAACTCCCCTTCCATTTTTAAATATTATGATGAAATGTTTTGTTTTTAAGAGATGGAGTCTCACTTTATGGCCCTTGGTAGAGTGCTGTGCTGTCACCGCTCACAGCTATCTCCAACTCCTGGGCTTAAGTAATGCCCTTGCCTCAGCCTCCCTGGCTCCCGCCAGAACACCCAGCTATTTTTTTGTTGCAGTTTGGCCCAAGCCGGTTCGAACCCACCACCCTTGGTATGTGGGGCTGGCGCCCTATGCACTGATCCACAGGCACCTCCCATGGTGAAACTTTTAAATCCACAGAAGAGTGAATCTTTTTGACCACTTGTCTGTCTACACTTCAGTTTTTTCTTTTTCTTTTTTCTGCATTTTTTGGCCAGGGCTGGGATTGAACCTGCCACCTCTGGCGTATGGGGCCAGCACCCTACTCCTTGAGGCACAGGTGCCGCCCTTCGTTTTTTTCTGATGCGTTTCTAAGTGATGGACATCAGTAGACTCCCCCTAAGTGCGTGAGTGCACACCTCACTTAACTTGGTTTCTTTGTACTTTGGCAATTTTATGAAAATAAGGTGCTACCTATGGGATCTGTCCTGATCTTAATCTTATCAGGTAAAGCTCACTTTAACTTTAGTTGTATTAATATCATGGCTTCCCCTTTTAAAACAAAAGTGCTTCTCGGAAGGCTCATAGCCCTGAGTAGCAAGATCCAGAAGGTCGTAAGAGTTTCTTTTAAGCCTGTGCTGCTGCTTTAGTTTAGTTTATGTTTTCTTTCTGTAAGGAGTATTTCACCAGAATATCTGGCGCAAATTAAATCTTATTTATTAGATAACATTTTAAAGTTAAGAATTGAAGGCTGAACCTAAATTCAGTTCTTCAATTAAGAATTGAAGGCTGAACCTAAATTTGTAAGAATCAAATGTGGTAAAGCTAAATGAGAAGGTCTGTGTGTTAAAAGTAATGGGGCTTGAGAGGCTTATCCTAACTGGGTTGGGTTTTTTTTATCCATTTGAAGAAAAGTTTAAACAATTATCTTTTTTGATTACTATATTTTAGTATGACAGAAGTGTCCAAAATTTAATGTTATGTTTCTAAGCAATGCAATAGGAAAAAAATCTGTTCAAATTTTGGTGCAAATCAAGACCCCATACTTACCTTGTATAACACAGCAGTTCTTAGAATAGCTTTTGTATTTTCTGTTATGTAGGCTTTGTGATCTTAAGTGGAATTATCTAAGCCTAGATATTAGAGAGACTGTTTGAGATATTCTTTGATTAAGTGGTTGGTCCTGGTGTGGCCTTTGGAGAGAGGTGGTCAAGCATTCCTCAGGAGGCCCTGCTGGACCCCTGCTGGACCCCAGCAGAAAGCATTTCTGCATTTCAAATGATCTTCTCTTTATTTTTATTTTATTTTATTTTGTATTTCTAGACAATAAGTCAAAATTTAGAAATAGCAGCTCTAATCTTGGTGTACTCTCCAGTGTGTCCACATTCTTGTCCTAGAGAGTTGAATGTGTGTGATGTGGATATGATAATGGTTCTCTGTATTACCTGTGGGCGAACCTACTGTTCTTTTAATGTGTAAGGGAGATGTTTTGTTAGGAAGGTTGTTTTTCCTAGTGATCACAACAAGACATGTGAGTGTTGACTTCAATGCTAGTTTCATAATAGTCATGGAAACATTTAGACAGCTAAGGTGTAGTTGTGAACATTTGCACAGTTACTTCTCTGAAACATATAAACTTGACCTTCCGTAGTGATGGTGAGAGTTTTCTATGCGGGGGTCCAGTCCTTGGTAGACTTTATCATTCATCACTGGCATCAGCCCTGTCTCCAGAGCCCCTGAACCATTACATTTGGCCGGACTGTCTTTCACTGAGTCATGCTGCTGCATCAGATCAAAGGAATTTAGTGGATAATAGTCTTTTGAAAATTTTAGAATTAGTAGTTTTTGATGCTTCATCAAAAAAATGGGTACTGGACCTGACATAGTAGATACCCAGTGTAGGCAGTCTTAAACCTTCATATTCATTCCTCTGGAACCTGTGAGGTGTTAGGAATAGTTATTCTGGTTTTACCATGAAGATGCTAAGATTGGTAGCCCTTTGTAAAGTTGAGCAGTAGAGCTGGGCTCACCTCCTGGACTGACCTCAAAGCCATGTCTTTCTGATACATGACCCTGTGCATGAAGCTTTTACTTCCTAATTTTTTTTCCGCTTCTTTTCATATAAAAATTTATGCAGAAAGATAATTTTTGCCTTAAATACAATAAAAGACATTTTCTGTATATTTGTGAAAAAGGATTTGGGGGGGAAATTTATAATAAGCACTCATTAGAAAATGAGAACGCTTGCTTGGACGAACTCAGGTCAGGAGGCCTAGTTAGGTGAAACTCACCTCGCTTACCTCATCTTGATAGAGGGGTCTGGTTTCTTTCTGATGGGTAGTTTTTCCAGCTTCTTTCTACTTTCTCTTCTGTAGGAGAAAAATGCTGATTGGTGACATTTACTACAGGAATGACTTTAAGATATACAATATGTATGTGAAATTCCTTGAGATCTTAAGACTAAATGAGATAAATTTTTATTAATTATGCTACTGCTACTTCACGGGAGCTGAGGAGTAAACCAAAATTTCAGTGCTCTGGTTTTGCCTACAGCCTGCTTCCTAGCAGGGGACTTTTAGGAAACCTAATCTCCAGGGAAGGCTGGGTTTAGGGAAGGCTGGTGCCTTGTCACCCAAGAAGAAGGCTGTTCATTGGCCGCAGGTGCAGGCATTGGGTTGGCTCCTCACAGGAAGCGCCCCCTCTCCAGCTGTCCTTTGGTAGCTCTGTTTTGAATAACACGAAACCAACTCTGAAGCCAAATTGAAATGCTCTTTGTGGTCTCTCTAATTCCCTCTGCCCCTGGTTGGCTCTCCGTCACCTTGATCACGTTGATGTGGATAACTGAAGAGTCGATGACACCCCATTTTTCAGTGTCCAGCTCTCTGATGAGGACTTGGCTCTGGTCCCCTTCTGTGTTCGTGATTCTACTTTGCAGTCAGTGTTTGCTCCATCACACGCTTCACTCTGTCTCTTCTTTTTTCATCCGAAGTCCATACTTTCCTACAAGTATCTGACCCTCTTTCACTGTCTCCTTTAATTTTCACGTTTTATTTAGTCCAGACCAGCATGTCCAGCCTGCTGCTGAGCCTGAATGCTGATTTTATGAGGACTTTTTTGCTTGTCTGTGGTGTCGGATATGAAAAGTATGCACAGACCCCCTTTTTTTTCTCTTCAGCTTTCGTTCGTGTTTGTGTATTTCCATGGTGGCTCAAGGCAGCTCCTATTCTTGATAGGTACAGCAGAGGGAAAAAAAGGTTGGACACTCCCAGTCTGGACACATTTCTTTACTAAACATTAATTCTCAAGAAATGAATGTTCTCTTTCTGAAAGCAAAAGTTCTTGGAGAGCCTTAATTCCATGAAGTGTACGCTAGGATAATGCCATTGCTGAACTTTGTAAAAACAGGATTTTTAAAATTAAGGAAAACATGTTTATTTTTAACTTGCTAAAATTAGGTTTTGATTGGTTTGTTTCATGATACATAGCCTATTGGAAAAATTGTTAATTTGTGTATTCATTTAGTGTTTGGTGTTTTTTTTTGTCAACAGGAAGAAGGTAGATAATGACTACACTGCCCTTCAGGAAAAACTGAGCACCTTGCCGGATAAGCTGTCCTACAATGTCATGGTATGCTGCTGCTTTTAAAGCAGCACTTTGTTTCTTGTAAATATGGTAACCATGTGAAATAGTACTATGTTTCTTTGCTAAATATGTGTGGTTCCCAAATTGCCAAGCTGATGATCTGTGTCAGAGGTAATTACCATAACAGGGAAGATTTGTTTTGTTTTACTTTATAATAACACAGATTGTAGTAATAGTTTATATTTTTCTTTTTTTCCACATACATATAAAATTGACACGTTATGGTGACATAAATGACATAAGTATTAGCATAAAATCTGACGTATTTCATAGTTAGACCTACATAAAAACTGTAATTATGATAGAAATATGGCACTTGGTCATTTCCTGTTCACCAGACAGGAATAGGCCAGTGTTTCATAATTCACAAAATTAAAGCCAAGGACATTGATTTTTATATAAAAAGGTGCTGCTAATTTTTGTTTTAATGATATTTTTATCGACATAGTGTTCTGTTCACAAGCCCTGGATTAGAGTCTTTCTTTCCAGAATAAACTTTCTTATGAAGACTTTGTTGTTCTTGTACTGCCCCAAGTATTTTGTAAAGGTAGTGGGGTAGAACTGTTAAAACTATTTGTTTACTAATTCTTGCTTTGCAAAAAAGGCTATCTTACTGAAAATAATTTTTCATTTTCTTTATTAGTGTTTTCCATTGATAATATTTTACTACTAGTTTGCTTGCGTTTAGTTTTACAATTGAATGAAAGTATAAACACAGACAGCACTAAGAGTTGTACTCTGAGTTAGGTATGAATGTGATAGAGATTTATTTTCTATTAACTTAGAGAAATTTCCTGTAGATTTTCTTAGTGAAATTTTAGTGTAGTGTTAGATACATGTGAAGTTGGTGTAATTTCCCCCAGTGTGTATGTTTAAAAAAAAGAATTTGATAAAAATCTAGGACTTTTAATGCTAAGTATTTCATAAATATATTTTTTAGTATTTTAAATCTTTTGCTTTTTCTCTTTTTTTCTTAAACGATAGGTACCATTTGGCCCCTTTGCCTTCATGCCAGGAAAACTCGTCCACACTAATGAAGTCACCGTTTTACTTGGGGACAACTGGTTTGCCAAGTGCTCAGCAAAGCAAGCTGCAGGTTTAGTCGAGCACCGGAAAGAACGTAGGTCCCGGTTCAGAACGTCGCTCTGCCGTGTTTGTGTCGGTTCACGAAGTTGATTCCATAATTTTCTGGTCCTGGCTGTTTGTGATTTCCATGATTTGTAGGTGGTTTGACTAGAACCAGCAGTAGAGAATGAGCCTGGGGATGGAGCGTCTGGGTTGGAAACATAACCCACATTGGCGTCTTTTCAGAAATTACAATGTCTAAAAGCCATTACACATGATTTTATAGACAGAAGTTGGGATGACATAAAAATTGGGGTCATTTTATACTTTACAATAGGTTTGTTTTAGTTGCTGTTACAGATTTGCTTTTAATACTTTAGTACTCAGAAGTAAGTAATTCATTTTTTGCTTAGAGACTAAGAGAAATAACTATTTACACATGTAGATGATTCTTAAAGATGCTATTTGGTTTGGAAGAAATCATGTTTTCATTTTATAGAAAGGTCCACGGGTAGAAAGGCCATGGATAGAAAGAGTATCCAAAATGATACTCTTATACTTTTTAAGATACTTGATATCTGTGCCTCATTTTCCTAAGGTAATTCTTTAGTTTTATTTACATCTGATATTATTTACTGGTGCACAGATGCCTAAACACATAACACACACACATAGACACACATTGTGCACTTGGATGAGTTATCTTGGGTTCTAGCTTAGTTGTATTTTAAAATTAGATTTCCTTTAATTTCTAATTTGTGTTTTTATTTCCATAATAGCATATTTAAATTGATAGTATAATGGTATCTCTACCTGCTTTTTAACCTAGTTAAATGTATGTTTGAAAATACATTTTGTGAGAATCCTTTTGTGTAAATAAGGCCATACCAGATAGAAAACAGCTGAGTTTCCTAAGGCTGAAATTGGTTTCACTTATATTTATGAGTGGGTCCTTGTTAGAGAATTCATTCCCTCAGTGAAATTCTGGGAACTATATTTGGAGACTCTAATTGCAAATCAACTCCTATAAGTTTATAATTGATACATATTTTGATCTTTTGTGACACTAATCAGAGTGTTATTGTTAGGTCTGTATATAATTTCCGGCAATGATAAATCTTTTGGCTTTGCTACATTAAAATATGTATATTACATGAAAGAGAATGGGCATAATTCTTTCCTAAAGACTTTTCTTAATGGGGAAGGCTTTCTTCTCTGGGGTAGCTTTGCCGATAAAAAATTAATTCATAGCCTCTTGAAGTTTATTCGTGTTGATTTTCACATTTCAGAAATCTTTAGAAGAAATCTTTAGAATCTGTTACAACTGAAAGTATTAATGGTAGAATACCTTTAATGCACTTGTATAGAGCTCTAGAGGGAAGAACTATCTTTTGGTAAATCACTTTCCCACTTTCGGCAACTGACCAAACTGTGATCAATATCTATCTAAAGTAATATTTAAAGAACAGATTTATGGCTAAGAATATGCCTCTTAAATTCTGTAGAGTTGTTTTATTTATATAGCTTTATGATAATTTGTAACTGAAGATGATGTTTAGGTGCATTGTTGTACTTAACACTAATTAAGAGCACATACTTTATTTTTCTCAGTGCAGAAGAAATACAACAAGGGAAGCAGAGAGCCGTCTACCCCTGCTCACTGGGGTGGTCAGGGAAGCAGAGGGGGTCACTGCATGCCAGGGGAGTGGTCAGAGTGAGGGACGGGGCGGGTTTGCCAACGACAGCACCTGAGGATTCACAAGAGGTTGGGGGAGAGTGATTTCTGTGGGGAGGAGCCAGGCTCACTGCTCTTAGCCTTTGTGCTCCGAATCTTTATTTTTTACCATTTAATATCTGTCTTTTTAAAGTTGTGCTCTAAGAGTTGAATAGACTTTATTTGGTGCACTGTGTTGTGAGTTACAATACATGCACCAAAGACTCCTGTGCTGCTGCCCTCCCGTGTTGACCCTCACCCTTCCCACAGGGCTGCCCTACAGGGCTGTCCTCCCTGTGCCGCTGCCCTCCCGTGC